GATTTGGTGTGACAAGTGTTTATCTAATGAGTACATTGCCACTCTGTTTATCATACCATAATTCACATAAAGAAGCAGTAAACCATCTGAGTTAACAGGGAGTGTATATTGACAGCAGTCATACTGTATTCAGAGAAAGGGGCAATAGCTTCTAGAATAATTAGTGCAGCTAATACACACTCATATTTATCTCTGTATTAAGCAGTAATCAGATTTTTTTAAAAAACAAACTGAATACAAGCCAAAAAGCCACCCCTTTATTAACAATTAAAATTAGGTTTTATATTATGCACTGGAGTCTTTCTGTGATCACTCGTCTACTTTCTCAAAGGTTCCCACATTAGCTGTGACTCTGCTATATCTGATCTTTCAGAAGCAAGTAACTTGAAAAAGGGCTACAACAGAAATTTCAAGGTGTAACACAAACACTTGGTATTTTAGTGCTTAGTATGTAAAGGCCTGTAGCAACCTGCTTATGCTATTTGGGCTGCTGCTTCAAGTATTTCATAGTTAGAGAGCAAGAAAAGGAAGTTTAATTTTTATGAGTTATTTTTAAAAGCTATCAATAACATAAATTCATGATTCAGTGACTACTGGGAATACATTCATTATTCCAGATAAAAAGACAATAAAGTAGCAAAATTTGATGTCATGGCTGTTAAGTTCTGTAATTTTATACTTCCATTGATCAGAAAATGAATTTACGGTCTACGTATTTTCAGTATCGTAAAAGTCCACATAATTTAATTGTTACTCTAAGGTCAAAATCAAATTGGCGTAGTAATATTGAACTGCACTGCCCTGAAGTCCCCTGATAGGCATCTTTCTGACTCCTGCTGTTATGAAAACTGTTCCCATTGGTTCTTGATACTACTGAAGTTGTTCCTAGACTAGGGAGACAAGGTTTGCATGGGTAGTTTATGAGCGCCTCTCGGAATGAGCAGTCCTTATATGATGTCTATGTGCTGGGGAGAATGGCTGGATTTTTAGGCGAGATATTATTGCTACAGAGAGAGGTGGTATCAGTCCTGATGCTTGTTATGATTTCCCCTTTGGTTTCTTGAACTCTGTGAAAAGTTTCACTGCTTTTCTTCAGAGTCAGCTCTGATAATATTAAATTATACGTTTCAAGGTATAAAATTATTTGAGGCTGGGGGGTTTTTTTGTTTGTGTTTTTTCCCACTTATTTTATCAATTGGTTTCATAGTAGTTCAGTACATTGTGTTTCACTATTCAGCCTTTACATGCTTGGGTTGTCCTGGGTGTATTTATTGATTAATGTCTCCTCTATGTTTTTAGTTTGAAGTGCTATTGTTACAAGTGCTTAAATCTCGAGTTAAAAAAAACCCAACCACTGTGCAAGGTGGCAGGAGGTGTGTAACAGAGATAAAAAAAGTGCACCTAATGCCATAACACGTGTGTGCTTTTGAGAGGCTTTGGTCCACGGAGGTCTTCAGGCAGCTGGCTCCTGCAGCAGGACCTGGGTTTGTGGTTCGTGTATTATAAAATGAGGGAGAATATTAGGAAACTCAGCATAAGGTTTCTGAAAAGCAGCATGCTGAAATTAACTGAGTGATGCCGTAAATGGGGAAATGAAGACAAGGGTAAAGTACCCAGAAATGGGGTCCCATTGGAGGTACACTTAGGATTTCTTGATTTTGGTTTGTTTTTTTGTTTTTTTCTTTTTTTTATGGTTATCTTCCATGGCAAGCCTGAGGGACACCTGAGCTGTGTGCCTCTAAATGAAATGCAGCCACACCTGAATTCGGACCTCATATGGTCTTCTCGTTTATAGTTTAATCCATACATAGGTACCTAGGAGCTGGTAAAGTCTTCCTTTTCATCTGGCTTTGCAAACCTCAGCTTAGCAGGATGTAACGGGTGTGCCATAGGATTCCTAGCAAAGTTGGCTAGAAATAAGTAGAATATTTCAGCTCCAGGCCCAGCACTGCAGTCAGATTTTTTAAAAATAATCCAGCTTCTGCCCGAGTGAAGGCAGCCCAGTTTCCAGATCCCATTGCTCCAGGCTGGGGGAAGTCATTTGCAAAACAACGGTGGCCCGTGCTCTGCACATTCAAAGTGGCAGTGCAGTGCATCAGGAGAACGATGAAGGCATTTAGTTCTCTTGAAAAAAAGTCATTTAATTATTCATTGTGAACTGTTTGTTGAACTCTGCTTGATTGGGCTTACATGTTTTGTGCTGGTTCATAAGCAGAGCAAAATACAGGAGGGAATCATATTTAAATACTGTATGACTGCCTGCTAATTATTTGCTTACTGATCCATGGAAGCAAACAAACATAACAGGCGTTAAACTAACTATTGAAGTTACCACTGGCAAATAGCTCTGCCACATGGAAAAACATGAGAATATTAAGAAAAAGATGCTTTTTAGGAATAAGGCACACTTGTGTTTTTATTGCTGCCGTTTAAAGACAGGATTTCATTCCATTTTGTAGAGCTCAATAATTCTTCAAATTTTGTGAGGACCTTGTGATACTCAATGCATGGACTAATGGCATTTCACATATAATTGAGTAATATCTTGTTTTCATTTGCATAGTACAAGCAAAATACAAATATAGGGCTGTATAAGCACAGTGCTAGCAACCACTAGCATGACTAAGTGCAGTAAGGGAAGGCAGGTGATGATAGTTTATTAGATGGCTAAATAAAGACAAATAGAGAATAATTAAGATAATAACTTAATATTAAGAATAATAGAGAACACACATTTTTCCACTTAGATGACTACTTATGTATAGGAAAAAGACAAAGTCTCAAACTGGCATGCACCAGGTGCATGCTTTGTGATCTACAGCTGAGAAAAGTTCCACTCATACATACATACTTGCTCAATACTCAGTTGCCTAAGTACAGTCCTTATAGATCATTAAAGCTCTCCATGAAAAAGACTGAGCTGCCAGTTGTTAGAAAAACAAACAAACAAAAATACACCACACTGTATTACTCGTTCCTGCTATGTTCAGAACAGTTTTCTGCACAGGAGAGGAGTGGTGTATTTGACAGGAGGTCTGACAGAAGAGCAGAGCAGAGCAGACAGTCCAACACCAAGGCTGTGCACACAAACCTCCTGCCAGATCCTTCTTTCTTGTGCACTGACACCTACTTATAGCAACCAGGGAGAACAATTTAATTAATTTGTGAATGGTTCTTCTGTGTGAGAACTGGTATGTGATAAACAGATAATGACTGATGGGGCTGATGAGAGGCTCAGATCGGTAGAATTAAGTTTGCTTGGCAATGGTAGTCATGAAACGCATTTCAGTGCCCGCAAGATGACGTAAAACTTCCTTTGACGGCATTGTCCCTATTTACTGCGCCCCCTGAATTGAGGAGTCATGTTCACTTTGGCACGCCTAATGGTATGGAGTCCTGCTGAGTCTCAGCAGTAAGAGAAAAGGGGTCAAAATCTGTTCAAATTCACTAATTACAGTCATCCCAGTAATTACAGTAAAGTGCTACTGCTGGAGGGTGATTATGGATTTGTATACACCTTCTCCTTTTTAACCTTGTCCAAAAGCACCCTTTTATCCCCCTTTGCTTCTCTTGCTTTGTCACATACTTTTTTTTCCTTATGTATTGGAGGAGAAAATAAAACCTGAAGAATTATCGAGCTCTACAAAATGGAATTAAATTCTGTCTTTAAATGCCAAGGGCTGGAGGTGGGGAGGGGAAGGAGCAGACTTCGTCCCTTCTCTCATGTTCTGAGTGCTCAGAAGTCAGCTGTGAAGTGGAATACTTCGGGTTTCACACATGGCTGGTGGGAAGCAGGGTCAGTATTGTACTATCTTTAGGAAAACATGAATGCACAGGGTTAAGAAATGTTCTATGGAGATAATACGCAGTTCAAGCATTTTTTCTTGGGGAAAAAGTTACCATATATCCAGTTTTGAGTGAATTTATGACATTATACTGTATTAGCACAATAAAACAAATGTTGATAACTCTATGAAATATAAATTATAGAAGAATTACAGCCTTTCAGTTTGTTTCTCTGTATCTATGAAGGATGTCTTCAAAGGAATATCCAGTTATTGGAAAAATAATGCAAAAATTGAAAACAGAGAATAATGCTTGTTTTTCTGCAGGCGTTTGTTTGCTTTCTCAGCATGTTTCTATGTACGTGTTTCTTGGCGTTAAATGGACTGCCAGGGTAGCATTAACATCACCCAAAATGGCAAAATAAAAAATGGAGAACGAATACGAGAACAGTGCTTATGGAGTTCTGCAAATTCTATTACATCTGTGTCCAATATATGCCTACCAGTGGTAAGCACTCAATACCCCTCAAAACAATTTGAAATCAGAATTACTGCTTTTACAAAGCCATGTGGCCCCTGTTCATGACTGCCTCTTAGCGTTCGGACATGAAAACAGTGGCAAGTTACTAGGATCTTCCCAGAATCATGGCATTACAGTCCTCATAAGATGATGTCATCTGGACTGTAAGGCATATTAGGGACGCACCAAAGAACGGAATGATACCGCAGTGGGGTTTGCGAATACTTGTTTTGCTGAGTAAGCAGAGGCTTGGGAAATTCTCCGCACATTGTCCTTCTGTGATATAAAGAAAACTAAATGCCCTTTTCATATGGAGTATCAGAGGTGTTCTCTTTAATTTCCCCCCCTAAGAGAAACAGGCTGGAGATGAAATCAAATGAGGTACTGGATCAAACCTCAGTGTCTGCTTGACTGCTGCATCAGACCCCAGCGAGGGCAGGCGACAAGCTCCTTTAGAGGGAAGATCTTCCCATTTCAAGATACAAGACTTCTCTGGCCATTACATCGCTTGGGGTTGCCTGCTGGGACAGGGATAAATTATAAATTTGGTATAAGGTATAAATTTGTTGAATGGGTTGCTTTGGTTAGGTTTGAAAATAATTCTCGCCACAAGTGCCTACCAGGAAGTAGTTGTCATTGTAAGTGTTTAACATTCCTGGGGGCTTTTTTGGTGTGTATATCATTATCTCTTGCAGAGGCTGAAGGAACTGAAACAGAGGGAGTTTGCTCGAAACGTAGCATCTAAGTCACGAAAAGATGAAAGGAAGCAGGAAAAGGCCCTTCAACGTTTGCACAAGCTAGCTGAGCTAAGGAAAGCGACAACGTGGTAAGTAGTGCATAGGTGCTGAAACATGAAAAAGACTTTAAAGTGCTGTGGGCTGCAGGGCTGTTGGAGTCCCTCGGCTGGGGTCCGGCACATGTGTTTTTATGGTAGTTTTTAAGCAGTATGTGTACGGTGATTTGATTCACACTATGTACAGAAATGAATGTTTAAAGTTGCTTTTTTAGTGAAGCTAAAATGACATGTATTTTTAGTGTAAAAAAAAGATGTGTTTCGTATATATTTCATAAAACCAGGCACCCTGGTTGAAAGCTGAATGAACTAGGTCATGCATTTGCAGGCCGACACTGTTTCATTGATGAGTTGAGGAATACAGTCTGTCTTTCTAGGACATAACAGATCTCTGTGATTTAGTTTTCAAACTGCTCATCTGGGACAGCATCCAGGAATCTAGCTTTACATTTCAATAAGTGTGTTTTTTTAATAGTAAAAGGTAAGGGCTCTTTTTCCCCAGCTCAACAGAGTGTTTATTTCCCTCTGCAAAAGTGTTTCCTTGCTAATCCTGCATTTTAGTATTGCGTCTAGGCATGCGGTTGAAAGTAATACCGAGCTTCCTAGTTGTGACTGTATTCTTACTTAAATATGACACAGTTAGGACACTGGCAAACCACTGAAAATTTATGTACCGACTTTTCACAGTGGAATCTTGGGGGAAAACGCAAAAAAGAAGATGCTCAAACGCAAATGTTTTCTTCTTATCCAGCCTTGATCTCACCAGATGAATGAACACAGAATTCTAACCAAGTTGTAGCTCTTGTTCAGTAATAGTCTTTCTTCATAGTTTGGATGGGCAGCATGCTGAAACAAAGTCTCTCTAAACAGGTGGATGGGACGTGAATGAGGCCTGTTTGATGTGAGCAATGTGACACCTAATTTTATTTTTTTAAATCTTTTTATGGGAACTCATGCAGAGACTTTTTTTTTTCTCCATCAGTGTTCTAACTGTCCACATTTAAGACTTGAGGATATTAGTTATTATTCCCCCTAAACATACTCCAAAATCTGAATATAGCATATTTCAGGAGAAAGAGGAACTTACTTTATGCCTTTTTCCATGCTAGTGAAGCACAGGTTTTACAGGATTTTGTTGTTTCTGTTTTGCTGGTTGTTTTTTTTGTTATGTGTTTGGGGTTTCTTTAATTATTATTTTAAATATCCTTCCTCTAGTTCCTGAAGGAGAACTTGCCTCTGAGCTTTATTTCTCTACGCAAAAATTGCTGTTTACTACCACTTTGCATCCTTAGAGGTGTAATACAGACAGCCACACAGGATTTTTTTAAACTGGTGTTTTCTAGGTTGGTTTTGTAGAGGTCACCATTTTATTCTGTTAAAGAAAAGATTTGTGTGGGGTTTTTAATATGTATTTTAAATTTATGAAGAACTGGACAAGGCAGGAATTCGCATGAGGAATTCCTTTGTCGTAAATCCTCTACCTTTAATTTTTAGACCTAATAGATTAAGTTCATTGTTCTTTATTTCAGCACTTCTTGGGGCCCTAAATGACACTTGGAAGTTTTCCTGATGACCCATCATCTGGTATTGCTCTGCAATGTAACAGAGAATAATTTGGTTAAAACAAAAACAAAAAAAAAGTGTTTAAACATAGGTCCATTACTCCTACTGCTGAGCAGTTCCTGTGGATCCTGGAAAATTGGCAACCTAAACAGTTTTTGCTCTTCTCTTTTGCACTTTATTAAGCCAAATAGAACAGATGGAAAGAGGACATGAAATGAAGAACAGAAGTAGACAGTGATAATTTTTTTTCTCAAGAGGGATGAACCACCTACTGCACTACTGTCAGCTGAAATACTCGCTCCAATATTATTTTTCCATGAAAGAAATTGCT